GAGACTTTATACAAATTTGCTATTTTCTATCAGAAGGTTTTTCATTCTCAAAAAATGTAGCTATTAATACCCTTTTTTCCAAAAATGATTTCTATTTGCTTTTCTTCTAGAAAATAAGTTGGACTAAAAATAGCTTTCAGTTGATGTTTCTTCTTTGAGAACTAAACCCACACCTCATAAACGTGCTCTGACGAATTCAGAGTCAGCTGCTAATTAGAGGACTTTCAGGGGAATGAAGTCTTGAAAATGTCTCGTTTTTAGCATGGACAGGGGTCAGATTGCATGAAGGCATGGGAATGGCATCTGTTGGTTTTATTCACACACGTGTGTGTGGGGGGGGTGTGTGTGCATGCTGGCGTGTTTTGCACAATTTATTTTAAAACAAGAGCTCATTCTTTATTTAACTTGGTGATTGCTCTCGTAGATTTGGATGTGGTTTGTATTGGTTAACTTCATACACCAGCCAGCTGTCATTGTATCATGTGCAGATGTGGACTATCTACTGGGAAAATACTTAGTGACACAGTAATGATTACCAAATGGAAGTTTACAATTTGAGATAAAATAATGTATATTAGATTAGATTTCACTATTTACCCTTAAGTTGATGTCATGAATGTGTCCTTGTGAATTACCCAGCAATACGTCGCCCTCTAGTGGTCCTGGAAGTCACAGCGCCAAGCGCCATCTGTTAGAATGTAGAGCATCCTGATGGCTCTGACCCACAGTGAGGAAGGAGGTGTCCTGGGGCCAGGCCGAGACCCCAGCGGTACCTCCCGCCGGCTCCGGACCCCAAGTCCTGCAGAACCTTGAGGGGTGGCTGCTTTTCGCAGGACTGCGTTCGGGGGAGGGAGTGATACCCAGTGCTTGCGAGGTGGTGGGTCGAGACCAAACCCGGGCAGGGTACCCACATCCTGAATGCGTTTCCCACATTCTCTGCCTTAAGATGGTACAGGAAACAAACGAGAAAGAGCTGAGATGTGGCTCCAGAGCCAGGGATCCCTTCTCGGTCCGTAGGCCTTCCCCCAGACGACACTTGGAAAGTGGCGAGAGGAGCCCAGTCATTCGGTTCCTCATCCTCTCGGGCACTGACTGTGCCTTCATGGCTTGTCAGGTACAGGCCGGCACTGCTCCCCCGGGGGCCACCGAGCTGCGTGCTCTCTCTGCCCCCGCCACACGCAGCGTGGGCTGCTCGGTCCCTCTGCCCCTGGCTTTAGGAAAGGGTCCCTGTAGCCACGGTGGCGAGAAGCGGCTGCCGCTCCTACACACGGGACAGGGACTGCCTCGCCCTGCCCTGCCTGCAGGGCTGGTCCTGCTGATCCACTCCGTGCGGGCAGGACGCCTGGGGATGGGGCGCCAGCAGGCAGCTGCTCTGTGCATTCACAGCCCTGCCCGGCCCCTTCTCCATGCCCTCTGCCGGCCCCGCAGGTGGGGGAGACTGGAGCGATGCGTGTGCATCTGCTGTAAAACGGGGGCCCACGGGTGGGCGATGCGGGTAACGAGGGAGGGCACGCGTGTAGGAGGGCAGGGGCACATGGGAAATCTGTCCATTCCCTAAAACAGTCTTAATATAAAAAAATACACACATGCACTCCAGCTGCAGGACCCAGGGAGGCGCCCGGCGGGGAAGTAGTTGGTCCTGAGCCCTGGACTTGTCCCCTGGACACGAGCGCCTGCCTGGCCGGGGCGTTTACACCCACAGGCGTTGGTTTGGGCGGCCCGGCAGCATCACTGATGCTCACACAGGGGCCGTCGCGGCGCTCAGGGCGTGGCCGACAGCCGTTGGCTCTATGAGAAAGGCGAGGAGTGAGTCATTGCTGCAAAAATATGCCCCTTAGCACGCAACGGGGAGATCTGCCCCTTAGCATTCACCTTTAAGGCGCTCACATCGTCTCTGCTGCAGGAAGTGGCACATCCTACAGCCGAGACCTGGCGCTTGTCAGGGGAATGTGCTTTGTAAAGGCCCAGCCAGCGCAGGTTCCTCGTAACGACACCTCCCTCTCCCCACAGAGCGCCCAGCGGATCAGCAGCTCTCAGGCCTCGCAGCCCCTCGCCACCCCCGTGGTGTCCGTGACGACGCCCAGCCTGCCCCCGCAGGGGCTCGTGTACTCGGCCATGCCCACCGCCTACAACACGGGTAAGTGACCCACGTGTGCTTCTGTGACTTCGCACATGCATTCACGGACACACATGACTGCCGGCCTTTCAGACTCCCATTTGCATTGGGACTCGCCGCCCTCTAGGACGTTACAGACAAGACAGGCCAGCGAGTGGCTTCCCCGGTGACCTTGACCCCCAGGCACAGCAGCTGTCAGAGGGCCCGTCCCGCAGCCTTTCCTGCTGGCGACCAGCACAGCGTCCCGGCCCGGCCCTGCATGAGCCGCTTCCCCTGGCTCCCCGTCAACCGCCTTCGGGGGAGGCCTGTCCCTGCGGAACGGGAGTCAGGAGGCCCCGCGGGCTCCGTGTGCGGCTGAGGGCAGAGCCAGCCAGGCCTCCGCCTGCGGCTTCCCTCCCTCCCTCCCCTCAGGCGTCAGGCCTTGTCTCCCAGTGCCCTCGGGGGGTGAGCGGCACATCCTGACACTGAGGTCAGCGGTGACCAGTTACTGAGTGTGTCCTGCGGGTTTGGCAGGGAAGAGGGCGTGGTTAGCGGGAACTTTGGGTCCAGGGGGAGAGACAGAACGACACCGGAATGACCATGACAGGCGTGTTCAGGCTCCATCTCAGCTCTGGCCTGAGGAGTGCGTGACCCGGGCCGGGAGGGCGCTGGGTGTTAGAGGCGAGACTGCGGTCCGGGGCGGACAGGCCCACGGGAGATTAGGGCGTCGCCTGGAGCGCACTGGGCACCGCGGGGCTCTCAGCTGGGAGGGGCCTAGTTGTGGCTGCAGTTGCACAGGGGCCGGGGGAGCAAGGCCCGTGGGCTGGGGCAGTGGTGGGGAGGCAGCTAGAACCGAGCGGACGTGGGGGAGAGGTATCGGGGTGACACCCCAGGTTGTGGGCCGAGCGGCGAGGCGAAGGCTGCTGCGATGAGCAGAGGAGGCGTGTGAGACATCCCAGCGCACAAGCCAGGTGGTTGGAAGGCTTGGCAGTCAGCAGTGAAAAGATAGTTGTGGGCTTTGAGGGTCACTGTGGAAGGCATCAGCGTGATGGGCCCCCACCCCCACTTCTTAGGGAACACAGGACGGTTCCCTAAGAGAGAATCCTATTTCGACTCGGCTGCTTTTGGCTTAATTTTATTTTTCAGTTACAGCTGACGTTCAACATCGTTTTGTATGGGGTTCGGGTGGACACATTGTGGTTACACAGTCACTTTACAAACTGACCCCGATATTTCCAATCCCCTCCCTGAGTGTCATTACGTTACAGACCGCATTCCCCCGCATTCCCCGTGCTGGCGGCACGTGCCCGTGGCTGCTCTGTAACCGCCCTTCTCTTCTCCACCCCTTCGCCCTCCCACCCAGTCCCACACCTCCCCTTCCCGCAGCCATCAGCCTGTCTCTGTGTCTGTGAATCTGTTACTTATTTTGCTCCTTAGATTCCACATACAAGTGGCATCACCTGTCATTTCTCTGTCCGACTTCACTTAGCACCGCCCCTCCCGGCCGCCCAGGCCGTCCCTGAGGTCGGTGCCTCCCGCAGGGCGAGGGGTGCTGTGCGGATGTGCCGCAGCCCGTCCATCACTCCCCCCGGCGGGCACCTGGGCCGCTGCACATGCTGCAGGGAACAGGCGTGTTTTTCTCTTGAATTTGTGTTATTTGTTCAGATATAAGCCTGGGTCATAGGCCCCTGGGGTCATTGTTAATTTTTTGAGGAAAGTCCACAGTTTCCCAGCGGCCGCGCCATCTGCCCTCCCACCTGCGGTCACGGGGCTCCCTCTTCTCCGCTCCTCCCGGCCTTGGTGGTGGGCGGAGCGATGGCAGCCGTTCCGACGGGTGAGGCGGCACCTTCGGATCTGATCTGCCCTCGGACGGTCAGTGATGCCGGTGGCAGCTGCATGTCCTCTGGAGAGGGGGCTCCTTCAGGGCCTCGGCCCATTTTCGGTCGGAACGTGCTCCCCGCCTGGGGACCGGCCCGGGAAACATCGCTGGGAGAAACGCAGGTGTTACCCGTGCTCTCTGGGGTCCTACGTCCCGAGCCTGACATGTGAGCTTATTCACGCTTGTCGGGTGGCGGGGGCCTTGCTGGGACCGTCTTTCCCAGCGTAGCTCCTGCGTCCTGGCCAGTGTCGCCGGTGCACAGCGTGGCTGCTTCCTGGTGCTCTGCCGTCTGTCCGTCTGGTGGGCGTCTGTCCGTCCGCCCACGGGAGGCTGATGTCAGCCAGGCCACTCCTCCCGCTTCCTTCTTTCCCACGATCCCTGGGCCCCTCAGGGCCTCCGGAGGCTCCACACTTCTGGAGTCTTGGGTCTCGTTCTGTGAACACCTTCAGCTGCTTTTTAAAATAGGTAACCTGGTGGGAAGAGCAACTTCTTTCAGCGCCCCTGGAGACGTGAGAAAGTTAAAAGTAGAGCGTTCGGCACCTCTGGTTTAGAACAGATGGAAAGCCGAGCGCTCACCAGGAACGGGTCACTGAGTCCGGGCCTTGGCCGCAGTGGTGGTGACTGACGCAGGCGTAGGGGCGACCGGCACTGTTGCTGGGGCCGTTTCCTCATGAACTTGGACACAGGTTGCCTGCCATCGAGGGGGACGGCCGTCCCTGTAGCAAACGGAGTGAGGTGTGCAGTGACGCGGGCACTGTCCAGGGCACGGAGCTTAGCACCGGAGAAGGCGCTGTCGTCCCTGGGACGTGCTGACAGGGACCGAGTCTGCAGAAGCAGGAGGGAGCGTGGATTTAGGATGCTGGTGTGTGTGGCGGGGGAGATAGTGTTTAAAATCAGTTGCCTAGCAACAGCCTTGTGCGGTGGCCTTTGTATTATTTATAATTTCACAAAAAGTTGAGATACTTGTAAACTGTGAACGTCTGGCACAACCTTGAACCAAGTTTACTGACCTGACCCCGGACCCCGGAAGAGAGCGAGGTCTGTGAGCCCCCAAGGTCACTCACGCTGGGACCCCCGCCCTCTCTTGCAGATTACTCGCTGACCAGCGCGGACCTGTCGGCGCTGCAGGGCTTCAACTCGCCGGGCATGCTGTCGCTGGGCCCGGTGTCCGCCTGGCAGCAGCACCACCTGGGCCAGGCCGCCCTCAGCTCCCTGGTGTGAGTACCGCCGGCCCCGGGCTCGGCTCCCTTCCCACAGGGGTCTGGCTCTGTGGACGTCCCCCGACTCTCCCACCGCGACAAAGACCGGCCCTCGTGTCCTGGGCAGCGGCGCTGTCCCCCTGCCCCCTGGCCTCCGTCCTCCTGCCCCTGCAGTGTCCAGGTGGCCAAGCGTGTGGAGGAAACCTGCTTGCAGGCTCTATAGGAGCTTGGAGGTTGAGCGCACAAGGGGTTCCTTGGGGTTCAGGCAGCCTGGCTGTGATGGACGCAGAGGCACACGCTCAGGATCTAGGGGGACGGGGTGCAGATGGCACCACACGCACCCCACCTCCCATGTCTGACACCCCTGTTTGAAGAGAGGCAGCTTGGCCATCCTGAGGCCCCCTGGCCACACCCTCCCTCCACCACAGGCCTGGAGAAGGAGCCGTGCCCTGGGCTCGCTCAGCTCCCAGGGGAAGGCGAGAGGGTGGGTGTCGGGCAGCCCCCAGCCCCCTGCACGCCTGCCCCCCGGGAAGCGCTCACCAAGGGCGGGCAGCTTGAGCTGCTGTGAGCACAGCCTGCCCCCGAGCAGGGCCGGAG